TAAGGCTTTGTCTGTGCTCTTTCCATTTAAAATTAGAGGCAACCACTGCATTTGAATCATTATCTAAACAAAGATGCTGCATACATGAAACGTGAGCAGTTTTTAATCTAAATTACATTGTATAATTTCTACATTTGAAGCAAAAACAGAATGGTTTGACTTCAGTTTTGTGAAACTATTCATAACAAATATCTGCATGAAACAGAAACAGCAGACGAGCTGATCGAGACAGATTCACTCTCTGCCAGCAGGTGGCGCTTAAAGCGTTTCTTTGGTTTCCGCTGTAAACAAAGCAGCGCTGCACATATCAACTTTAATATGCATTATACAGAGGCAAGATGAAAAGAAAAAATACTATCTAAACTTTTCTAAAGACAGTAAGTTCCCCTCAGACATGCATTCATATAAACTCCTACACCTAATAGAATCGCGATTTGCTTAGCATGTCAACCGATTTGAATCGACACATATTTTAATCGATTTTCAACTGGCTCGCGGTTAATCGTTACATCCCTAACATTTACAGTATCTTATTTAACATTTAAAACTTCCACATCATTGCATTCTGTTTTTATTCACAATTTGTACAGTGTCCCAACTTTTTTGGAATCGGGTTTGTATATTAGTTAATATATAAACATAACAACTATTCAACAACATTTGTCCTAATAAGACAAATATCAAATAATAAATGGCCTCAAAATATATATATTTATAAAATAATTATATATATGCCCGTCTTGTTAAGTATCCTATCGCAGACATAGCCGGCTGAACGTACTGTATCAGTGCACTGGATCAGTGCGTTCTCTTAAATTGATAGCACTTTCTTAATATTAATCAAACCGCAACAACAAAGAAATCGCTCACTGCTCTTGATTAAATAGCTTTTGTAACTTTAATAAAGATTCATCTTTAATTTATACAGTCTAATATGCAGTGCTGTTTTACATTTCATTACTTTATTCAATTTAAAAACTAATGTTAGACCTACCTAAAAAAAAAATTTTTTTTGTATCTTTACTCTATTGTATTTATTTGTACTTTTGCTTGTAGTTAGATAAATTATTCTTATTTTCATTATTTTTGACAGTATAGTTTTTCCCTAAACATAGCACATAACGAACCGTACCGAAACCGTGACTCTAAAACCGTGATACAAACCGAACCGTGAGTAAGTTGAACCGTTCCACCCCTAATATATATATATATATGTGTGTGTGTGTGTGTGTGTGTGTGTGTGGCCTATATATATATATATGTGTGTGTGTGCATATGATGAAGATCCAAAGAATTACATCTGAATATATTGTTAGGCCTATAAGTGTGAATATATATATGTACATTGAATATCGATATAATTCTAAATGTATGTATACAAAGCAGAGTATATGAATATAAATCATGAATAGCTATATGTATAGAAGTAAATCTGAATATATAGTTATAAATCTGAATATATATAATAAAATAAGAAACACAAAAACATTTATGTATCAAGATATGTATCTATATATTCAGGCTAACAAGCTATATTCAGGTTTGATATAATATTTCTTGTTTAGCCCTTTATAAAACTATATATGTATTCATATTTGTCCGTCCTTTTTGCTTTTCGGATGGATTTTCTTTTTTCATTTTCATTTCATTTTTCATTAAGCTTGTCAATGTATTCTGGGATTTCCTATATATACAAAATTTTAACATGTCTTGTTTCAGATTGGAATAGAGAATATTAATTGCTTAAAATTTGTATTACATTTATAATTGACATATTTACATATATTTATATTACAGTTTATATTACATTTTGAAAAGTATTGTTTTAAACTTAAACTTTTAAACATGAGTGTCAATGTCCCCAAAATGTCTTGCATTGCATTGTCGGAACTGAATAGATTGTTTTGAATTTCTTTAGATTATTTGGAAGAGTGTGTTATTGCTGATGACTTTGCCACGTTGCTCCTGCTTGGACATTTTTAGTGATTATTATGGGAATGATCTTGTGTTGCCGTGCCGATGCTTGCATTTCAGATATAGAGGTTGCGTCATGTGAATACAAGGGGGAAAAACTGCAAGTAGAGGACATAGTAAAGACCCCCGCATCAGTGCGGAAGGAAAAAAGTGATGGCAGAGAGTCGGTCTCACCGGAAAAGTGTGAAGGGGCAGAACTCCAGGCTTAGACCCCTCAGGGAGAGTCTAAAAATATAGTTCTCCACCCACTGGCCTCTCCTCTGAGTCTCACTCTCCACAGCATCTGTCTCTGAAGTCACCCACGATCCCCACAAGCGTCCTCCCTGTCTCGTCCCTTTCCCCCTTTTACCTAATTCACCGCTTCACCTTTTCCCTGACCACCTGTCTAACCCTGTTTAACACATTCAAATTGAGTCATCACTCCCATTGCCTTTACCCTCTACCTCACTCTCACGTGATTTTTTGTACTCTCTTCGTCCTTTACTTTCTTCCCTTTCACCTTTTTCTCTTCTTCCTGCTGTCACTCTCCTTACTTCTCCCTCTTGTGACCTCTAGACCTGCCTTGAGTGGGTGGAAAGGAGGATCAAGAAAGAGAGAGAGAGAGAGAGACAGGGAGAGAGAGAGACACAGCTGTGGAAGTATTATAATCACTGGCGGGTTTGTGTCAAGGGTCTAACAGCTTTTTAGTCAGCAGTGATTTACAGACAGTCAAAGTCTCATAATCACGAATATATATATATATATATATATATTCGTGATAATGAGACTTTGACTGTATAGGCCTATATACAGTATATATATATATATATATATATATATATATATATAGGCCTATACACACACACACACATAAAATATAAAAATATCTGCATGTCATGTGACCATAACCAACATCAGAGAACCAATTAACATGCAAATGTGATACTTATTTATATTTAATATAAAATATTTATTTTAAAATCTCAGGTGTACTTCAAGTAAATATATTAGGTGAAAGAGGATCAGATGACAAAAAAGTTTGTATATATATATATATATATATATAGGGTTGTCAACGTTAACGTGTTTAACGCAATTTAAAAAAAAATCCTTAACGGGTTAAAATAATTTAACACAATTAACGCAAAATTACTGAAGCACTTTTTCTATTCTAAACCTTTTACCCGATTTCGCTTCTCTGATTGCAATCAGATCATTTTAAACCCATAAACTCTGGGAAAGTTTACATTCCAATGATCCAGTAAGTGAATGCATTGAAACAATCAGTCCAAAACAGCGCGAATGTAAAGAAAACCAGGCTGATTACATCAGAGATGGCAGAGAGAGCAGATACTTATGTTGCATTTTCAGTGAATTTTTCATTCAAGTGTGTTTCGCTTTAAAACACGAACTCATATTCATTCATGTTGTTTCCACACACATTCTGGATAATTTTTTGATTTGTCTTGTGTATGTTGCTGTGTTTAGTCATATTGAATGGATCCATGTACTGTAATAGGTATATGCAGTCAGGTCAAGGCGGTTGGTTTATGGTTTTTTTTTGCCATCTCACGGCTAGCCTGACCGCAGTATGTGGTCCTGTTCAGTATCGCAACTTGACTTGTCTAAATTATAAACAAGCTCTTTGCTGTTTTACTGTACACATACTATACACTGTGAATTGTGAAAATTGTATTTTGTATTTTTTTTTTTTCATGTGTACTTTGGTATGCATAAATTTATCAATTGTATGGACTCCTTATATCATTTGATTCTTTAGTGTCCTTTTAGAGTCTCCAAGTATCCTTTTTTGGAAAGACATCAACATTTATCTTGTTTTGTTTCCATGTCTAAAGACACAGTCTTTCTTCTCTTTTTCTCTAAAGGAGTGGTGAAAAATAAGGATAGCGGTCTGACGAACGGCAGTCGTGTGGCTCAGCTCAGGAAGAACTTCAACACCACTAATGCCCCATCTGTCAAACCACCAATCCCCTGCAAGCCCACTCACCTACTGGCTTCCCCCTCTGTCAGATAAACACAACACTGCTACACAACTGAAAAATATCCTTGTGTATCCAAAAATCTGCAAAATGAACTAAAAACACTAGAAAGACCTGCGCATACCTGAGCGTAAGAGCAGATCCAGGTGTGGACACAGCTGGAGACGGATGTTGTACGGAAATCAAACACTTCTTATGACCCAGCTCGAGCCATCACTCTTCAGGTTTCACACTGTTTACAGAGGAATATGGTCTCCAAAGGACTCAAAGAATTGTTCTACTCCCTTTATACAATATTGTTTTTTGTTTTATATAAACTTTGTTTCCTTAAGGGGAGAATGACCAAAGTTATTGTGTCATGTTTGTATAGATAATTTTTCGTCTGGTTGTAAATAACGGTGTCATATTGTTTTAAATAAAACAACTGGTTTTAACTGGTTTTGAGAACTGAATGCTAATGCTTTTCCAGACCATCCAATGTCTAGATGGATGGATGGATGGATAGAAAGATAGATAGATAGATAGATAGATAGATAGATAGATAGATAGATAGACAGATCTTCAAAATGTATTTCCATATTATCGCCACATGTTTGGTAACTCAACGGCATCTGGTTCATGATGGAGACAGTCAATCATTCCAGCAGCTGGGATAGTTATCATGTATATGATATATATATGTACATTTTATTACATAAAAATTATTAAATAATATAAAAAATAATGTATATGACCATAACCATATTCAGTTAGTATGATGTTATTTTCTATCATTATAATTCCAGTTTTAAAAGCTTATATATAGCTTTTATACACATAAGTCAACATACATTCAAATTTGACCATATTTACATTCTTTTTTATACTTTGTCTTCCAATTCAACACAATTTTACATTCTGTTCAGATATAACCATAAACATACTCCGTTATTATGATGTTAAATAAATGTAGTTCTGAGCAAAAAAACAAAATGACATCAACTTTTTACAAAGACTTTTTATGTTGTTTCAAAAATGTCTATTTCAAATAAATGGTGTTCTTTTGACATTTTTATTAATCAAAACATCCTGAAAAAGTATAATAGTTATATAAATCAAAATTAGAGAACAACCTATAATTTCCAGTGCTTAGTCCTATTTGAAGTTATCCTAACAGGAGTAGAAGACCAGTTTTTAAAGCATATTCCATAAATTAATTGTATTTCGATGCACAGTATGAAAAACCTTAAATGAGATATTTAAAAAAGAACTGATCAAAATTAGAGAACACTTACAGATACCTCCAAGTTGTTGGTGTTAATCTGGCACCTGGTGCTTATTTCCTTAATTATATGACAAGCCATATTTAACTGGCAACATTCCTTCTAATTTTCACTGAGATTGCAAGATGGTGGGCCACTCTAAAGTGACTGAAACCCTGCGACAGGATGTGTCCAGATGAAGGCCAAAGGGATGAACCTTTCAGCTTTTGCAAGAGAAGCAGGCCATTCCAAATCAGTAATTTCTCAATAATTGCAGGTTTACAATGATACTAATTCATTCAAGTCCCCCCAAAAAGCTGGTAATCCACGTAAGACAAATGCACGAGAAGATAGGATAATGCAGAGAATCTCAATTGGCAATCGGTTCAACACTGCAGCTGGAATGGCTCTGCACAGGGTCTGGATCTGTCTCAGCATGTTTAAGAGAAGTCAGACTGAAAACGTACTCTGCGGTGACCAAGCCTCTCATCAGCAGAAAGAATCAAAAGGCTAGACTAAACTATGCTGAGGAGCATGTTGTGTGGAGAGGGGAGAACTGGTCCAAAGTTCACTTTAGTGATGAGAGCAAGTTTACTTTATTTGGGTCAGATGGGAAATATTTTGTTCGGGGGATGTTTTGTGCAGCAGGAGTTGGGCCTCTTATACAGCTACAAGGCAGAGTGAATGCAAATGTTTATCAGAACCTCCTTCAGCAACATACGTTTCCTTCCCTGCAAGCATCTCCCAATCAGCCTGCAATTTTCATGCAAGACAATGTCCCCGTCACACTGCAAAATGGGTAAAGCAGTTCCTTAAAGCTAAGAACATTGAAATAGTGAAATGGCTGGCCCAGAGTCCTGATCTAAACCCAATTGAAAATCTCTGGAAAATCCTTGGCGACAAAGAAACCCACTACAGTTACCAAACTTCGGAAGAGACTGGAAGAAGAGTGGACGAAGATCACACCTGCGCAGTGTGAGAAACTAGAGATATCCTGCCCACACAGAAACGTGTTATCAGCGCTGCTCTGACGATTTTATCGGTAAAATAGTTTAGCAACTTAAAAGCTACATGACATTCCTCACTAGCGAAGTAATAACGGTACTGTTCTTGAAGCCAATGAACTTACAGTTTCGCTATTACTTTGCTCTTCATACCAGATATAAAAAGGGCCTGACGCTGCTGCCGAACACTGTTGATAGACGCACAGACTCAGGTTATTCACACACCTTTATCTCTCTCTCTCTCACTCTCTGCAAAATAACTGCATTAGTCTGCATTATCAATGGCTCAAGCAGTCATTACTAACTCTAAAATGGCGTTTTGGAATTAACAAAGGAGGTGTGGGATGAGATGCGTAAGCAACATCTGAACAATGTCTTGAGGTGTGGTAACTGTGGTGTAAGTGAAAAAATGTACTCCGGTCCCTTGAATTATTAGAATATATTGCACACCCAGTGCTTCACATCGTGGCTGCATCATCACCACAGGTCTGCATTATTTTCTAATTCAACGGCCGTCATCAATTATTCCTTAAAAGTTACTGTACTTTAAATACTTATTTATCTATTTATTTATTTTGACTGACCTCACCTCGGCCAAGTGGAGTTAAGTCATTTACATCGACTGTAAACAAGTATTCAGGTCTGAAATGCCCACTTTTGATTTGAATATTCTGCTTGCAGTCAAGTAAAACAGACTGTGATTTTGTGGTTGCGCGTGACTAACTTCATTCTAGCCTGCACAAACATTACACAAAAACAGCGGCTTGTTAGTATGGGGTGATAGATTTAGTGCCGATTCTCTCAATGATCTGATGCAACCAACCCTTCTAGATGTATGTTTTCAAAACTCAACTAATGATGGCTACCTACCATAGAAATACCTCTGATGTGTGGATGGTGAGAGAACGGATTAATATTTCATAAACAATATCATTGCTGTACTGCAGAGTTTGGGGGAAGCTGCTCTGTATCTCCAGTCGATACTTTATGTCTGTCGCTTCTGTAGTGACCAAACCAGTGTAGAATTTTTACATGAGAGGAGAATTGATATTCCCCCCCTCTCTCTCTTTCTCCCTGCTTCCCTCTATCTCGCTCTCTCTTCTAAGCTTCTACAAAGACCACGACTGTTTTGCCGTTACACTCAGATGCTCTGAAGAAGCTTCCTGGAGGAAGAAGGTGGGGGGTTTCTCTGAGCTCGAGGAGGACAGGGGTACTCAGGCATCGTAAACCTTTTAAACGCACGCGCACACACACACACACGCGCGCACAATTCCCTGCTGCAGTGGGATTCTCTGAAGGGAGATAAAAAAGGCTCTGTTGTGCGCGGGAAGAGAGAGAAGCCCATCACCACCTCCACCACTGTCACCCAGAGAGAAAAAAGCGAGAGAGGGAGAGAAAGGGATGGAGAGAAAAAAGGTGTTGTGGCGGTCTAGCGGTGTAGGCTGAACCTCGGCTCCAGTGACCCCTGGGTATTTTGTATTGTGTGTGTGTGTGTGTGTGTGTGTGTGTGTGTGAGTATCGCTGAAACATGTGACAGGGCACACACACAGCCTCACCCCCTCAGGCGAGAGCGAAACGGTCTGCAGCGAAAGCGCCAGTGTGTGTGTGTGTGTGTGTGTGTGTGTGACCCAATCCGTTCTGCTAAAACAATCCCTTCTGTGTGCGAGTGTGTGTGTGTGTGTGTGTGTGTCTATACGTGGGGCTCCGTGTGCGTGTCCATGCGTGCGTGTCTTGCAGTGAACGGTCTACTGCGTTTTTTCCTCCATGATTAATCAGAGCGAGGGCAGGAGGCCGAGGGCCGAAGGGACTGCGACAGCTCCAACGCGCTTAACCCTTCACTGCCCACTCACACACGGACTGGAGATCCACACTAAACAAGACCTGTAATATCACAAACACTAAAACGATCATAACTTACATAAAAAACCTGTTTGTCATAATATATGGGCTACCCAAAGACATTATATGATATAGCTACTAAACACAAAAAAAAGAAAAAAAAACACTGAATGTTTTCTAGTATGTGAAAACCTTTATCAACACTACGTTTCAGAAGTTGGTGTTGGTAAGAGTTTTTGAAAGGAGTTTCTTATGCTTTTCAATGCTGCATTTATTTGGTCAAAAACACAGTAATATTGTGACTAATATTATTCCAATTTAAAATTGCCTACCTGTATTAAAATATAATTTCTGAAATGTCAAAGCTGAATTTTCAGCAGCCACTACTCCAGTTTTCAGTGTCATGATCCTTTAGAAATCATTTTAATGCTGCTTTGCAACTCAAGAAACATTTCTTATTATTAATGTGGAAAACAGTTGTGCTAATTAATGTTTTTGTAGAAACCGTGATATTCAGGATTCTTTGATGAACAGAAAGTTCAAAGGAACAGTATTCATTTTAAACAGAAATCTTTTGAAACATTATAAATGCCTTTACTGTCACTTTTGATAAATTTAATGCCTTATGGCTGAATAAAGGTATGTATGTATATATATATATATATATATATATATATATATATATAAAACCGACCCTAAACTTTTGTATGTTAGTGTACATCTGCTCTTGAGTCTCTGGTGAGGGGAAACCTGACAACACCATCAGCACAGAACAAAACCAGAAATCCCCTACAGAGATGAGAAAGACCATTTCAGACACATACATCACTTGTCTATCATGCTGAAAACCAATCACGAGCCCACAAGGTACGTGATGAAAATTCACAGGTGGAAATTACAAGGTGCAGGGCTGTCAATCAGACATAATCCCACCTTTTTGATTTGATTATA